GAAAGAGAGAGAGAGAGAAAGAAAGAAAGAGAGAGAGAGAGAGAAAGAAAGAGAGAGAGAGAGAGAAAGAAAGAAAGAGAGAGAGAGAGAGAAAGAAAGAGAGAGAGAGAGAAAGAAAGAAAGAGAGAGAGAGAAAGAAAGAAAGAAAAAGAGAGAGAGAGAGAGAGAGAGAGAGAGAGAGAGAGAGATGCGAAGGAGAAAGGAGGGAGAGGGTGAAGAAAAAACAAGAGGAAGAAAGGGAGCCAATGATCGGGCACAAGGAGGACGGTCATTGATCGGGGAGTCTCAGCGCGGCGAGAAGTTCCACACGCCGACCGGTCCTCGAAACAGGGTTCGGAAGGCCCAAGTGCCAATTCCCCCGTGTGACCGTTGTCTCACCGGCGTTCCGGCCTCGGGGTCACGGGCCGGCGGCCGGTGGTGGAGGCGCGACGGAGGGCAAATTCCCCCCCCCCCCCCCCCCCAGCAAGCCATCCAGGTGCCACTGCAAGAGGCGCCTTGTTATGGACACGGCTCGGAACAGTTTCGCCAAGCATTTTTTATGTTTTTTTTTAGGTGGTATTTTTGACAAACAAGCAGTCTTTTGGTACCGGCCTCCCTCGTTCGGGGTGGCGCCATTGACGGGACCGGCGTCTGCCAGGGCCGCGGGGGGACAAACAACATCCGGCGACTGTCCCCCGGGCGTCCCTCTCCCGCCCCCCGCCCAGGCCTGGGAGCGGGACGTGCGGCGAAGGCGCGCGGGCTTCGGCCAGCACGCGCCCATGTCACCCGGGTGAAGAGGACCCAAGTCTCCACACCCGGCAGGGTGGGGAGCATATGGGCAGCCCGCCAGCGTGGGGATGCATCGCGATCCGGGCGGTGCCGATGGCCCGGCCCCGGGCCCGGCCCCCGAAGTGCCTCGCCTGCATTCTATCTCTGTCTATTCTTTGGGCGGGCGCCGGCTGGCTGCCCGCGGGCGCCGGCACTTGAGAGGGGCCTCCGGTTGCCGGCAATATGCTGGCGGCCCGGGCCCAGGCGGAGGACCGGGCAAGCGGGCTCCCTGCGTGCACGTCTTGCCCCACTTGCAGCCCTCCTCTCTGCCTCTCTCTCTCTCTCTGCCTCTCTCACACACGCACACCGAGGCTCCTCATGCGGCCCTGCCCTAGAGGTCGGCCTCATTGTCCTGGTAGGCGGCGATGGGGAAGTCAAAGGGACAGGGGACCCCGGTGTGGCCGACCACGGTGTCCGCGGTGTTGAGGGTGAAGTCCGCGTGGAAGATGGTGCTCCACAGCCGGCCCGAGGTCTGGTCAAATGCTCGGCCCATGGCCGGGCGGCAGCCCAGCCGGAGGGTGCCCCAAAAGTCCTCCGGATCCACCTGGATCCCCAGCAGAGCCAGGGCCAGGGCCATTTGCCGGGCCAGGGCCACGGCCGACGCGCCATGCTGCAGGACCGGCAGCAGCAGCAGCATCACGTCCCGGGCCGAGAGCGGCGCCGCCGCGGCCAGTGCCCCCACCAGGCAGGCTGGCAGATCGTCCGTCGTCCGGAGCTCGGGGATGTCCCCCACCGGCAGGAGGGCCAGCAGGTCCTGGCGCGAGAGCGGCTGCCGGAGCAGCTGCGACAGGGCATGGCGGATGGCCAGCTGCAGGACCATGGCCGAGTTGGGCATGGTGGCCGCGCGGTCGAGGAAGCGCACCTCCGGCCCGGTGTGCAGGGAGTCGGCCACGAAGCCCAGCCGGAGGATCTGCCGGACGGTGTCCGGGGCCAGGTCGAAAACCGGGGCGATGGCTTGCTCCGGCGGCACCCAGTCCGGGAATGCGGCGCCGGGCACGCGAGACACCCGGTCGGCCCAGTCGGCGGCTGGCCCGGCTCGAGGGGGGCTCACCCGCGGCCGGGCCACCTGGCGCGGGAGGAAGTGGCGCGGGTGGTGGTAGGGCGGGGGCACCGCGCCGGGCGGGACGGCCCGGCGCCCGGGGCCATGCTCCTCCGCCGGCCGGCAGGCATTGGACAGGGGCCGGTTGTGGTCCCGCGCGCGGGGGGCCGGGTCGGGGGCCCCGGGCAGGGCGCTGTCGGCCGGGTGGCTGGGCCTTCGTCGGGGGTCGGCCCCCAGCGGCCCGACCGAGCTGTCGGAGATGGTCCGCCGAGGCCGGGCCGCGAGGATGGTCTGCCTGGCGGTGGCGGTCAGGGTGGCATCCACCAGGGGCGATGAGCCGCTCGGCGCGGCCCAGCGCCCGGCGGGCGACCCCTCGCCGGCCAGAAGGTCCGGCAGCCCCGGGGCCGAGGGGTCCGACGTCGGCCCGAGGGACAGGCCCCCGAGGGCGTCGACCACCCGCGGACTGAGGGGCGGCGGGTGCGGCAGGGGCGACTGCATGGCCGGCTGGGGGGGCGTCCCATGGCGCGGGGGCTGCTGCGGCCCGGGCCACAGCCCGGCCCCGCCGGGCGATCCGCCCAGTAGGGGGGTGGCGGCGTGCGAGGGGCTGGCGATGGAGGGCGGCAGCAGCGGGGTCATGTGCGCGGTCGGCGGCAGGGCGCCCTCCGGCGTGAGGCCCGACAGCGGCGGCGGCATGGCGACCGGCGGGCTGGCGGCCGAGGGGTCGGCCGACACATTGAAAAGCCCCGGGATGGGGCCCGGGCTGGCGGGCGGGCCGCCGGCCGGGGCCTTTTGCGGGCACATGGCCATGCTGGCGCTGGCCGAGTCGGCCAGCGACGCCACCAGGAGAGCCTGGTTGGTGGCGGCGGTGGCGGCGGAGATGGCCGCCGCGGCCGCGGCCCGGATGTGGCCCACCGTCTCCCGGACCCCCTGCCAAGTGCCGGCGCCGGCCGTGTGGACGCTTTGCCAGTGGCAAAGGACATCCAGCTCCGGCTGCAGGGCCTTGACCCAGCGAAGCAGCGGGTCTTGCATGGCCGCCAGCTGCTGGTGGAGGATGTCAAAGAGGAGCCCGGCCAGCGGCGGAGGGCAGGCCGCCCCCTCGGCCGGCAGGTATACCACACTCAGCAGGTCGTGCATGAGCCGGCTATGGGCATGGTCGAGGAGCAGGCGGCTGCGATGGTCGACATCCTGGCACAGGAGCGCCACGCGCTTCAGCTGGCTCGGGGCCCACGCCGCCCGGGCCTCGAGCAGTTCCAGATCCTGGCCGAAGGAGGCCGCCAGCCGGTCCCACGCATGGAGGATGGCCATCTCCGTGCCCCGGGCCGGGGGGGCACTCGTCGGGCTGGCCAGGGCCACGAGCACGGCTCGCATGGCCCCCGGAGAAGGGACGAGCCCGCGGAAGTGCTGTCGGACCGCCAGCAGGACGCCGGTGTTCCCCGGGGCATTGGCCATTTGAAGGAAGGTGGCCAGGAAGTGCCGGCACTCGGGGCTCTCGGTGCCGGGACCCAGGCCGAAGTCCTCCAGCCGAAGGACCCCCGGTGGGTCGACCCTCGGATGGGCCATTCCGCTTGATGTTGGGGGGGGGGGGGGGGGGGGGGGGGGGGGCGGGCGGGGGTAGGGACGTGCGGTGGGGGGGGGGACTCGGGTCAAAGGCGGGCAGGGGAGCAGGAGAGCAGGGGAGCGGGGGAGGGGGGGGGACATGCTGGCCCCCCTGGCGCTGGGCCAGTCCGCTTGGGCGGCCTTTATCCCCAAGGAGGAGCATCCCGGCGGATGGGGGCAGGGTGGGATGCGTGCGTGCGTGCGTGCGTGCGCGCGTGTGCGTATAGGAGGGGGGGGGAGCACCGGGCGCCGGCGTGTGGCATTCGCCGCGTGCCCGGCAGCCGGCCGCGGCCGCCCTCCCGCGCAGCAGCGGCTCTGCTCGGACGCCGCGCCCTGTCTCCCGCCCGGGCTGGCGGGCCGTCTTCCCCGGAAGCCACCCGGGCCCAGACGACAGGGGCCGGATTGCCACTGGTCATGGCCCGGCGGGGGGAGGGGGCCTCGCACCTTCGGTCTCACTCGGCATCCGGCGATCGGAGGGGGGCATGCTGCGGCGCGGGCGCAAAGAGGAAAAGCCCACCCCGGTGGCCGCCGGTGTGCCCCCGGGACCGACAACGTCCCATGGGCGCCGGCAACTGTCTGTCTCAGTTGGTGCGAGTCATGCTCGACCGGCCGTCGGGCCGAGATATTGCCCCCGGGAAGGTAGTCAGCCGCCGGGCACAACGGCCCAGCGCCCAGAGCAACCTCACCCTGCGCATGGCCCACGCATGCGGCAGGAGCACCCGCCCTGGCTGCCTGTGGGGCAAAATGACAAGCAACATAGCCATAATTGGGCCCCGAGAGCCGGCCAGGTCTCACATGCACTTCAATGCCCGCAGCCAGGGACACCTGCGGGAGTTGTGCGCATCGGGCTCCCGGCCGAAGGGCGGCACGGCCGGCCAGGCCTCTCGAGGAGGGGACATGCCCTGGTGCCCCCCCCCCCCCCCCGGGTCACGGAATGTGATGCCCAGCCGAAAGGAGTGGGGCCGGTCGATTTGAGACCCTTCTGCACCCGGGCCTGCGGAGCGAGGAGAGGGCCCGACAAGTCGAGGCATGCATGCGCGTGTTGGTCGAGGGAAAGGAAGATCCTTTTCCTTTCGGCCGAGCACGCGTCAGAAATGTCTCCACGTAGGGCGACGCAACTTCGGCCATGGGCCCCCTGTTGGGCTCGCGCACAAAAGGGGAGAGGCCCACGCGCGATGGGGCCTAGCCCACAGTCGGGCAAATCATGTGGACCCCGACGAGTGGCCATGCGATCCCCATATGCAGACGATCGATCGAGCAACACGCGAGGTGCCAGGGCACACGTGCTAGAGCATGGGAAGGCGATGTGCTCTAGAATGGCATTCGCCGTGGGAGGATTGCGGGGTAGGCCGGCGGGCAGGTGGTGGCCACCGCGAACGAGCGGTGCTCGTGCTCCACCAAGGAAGAGGTTTCACGAACGGGGGACCAGCCCAGTCGCAAGGTTCGCACCTCCGCCTCTTGGCCGAGCCCCAGGGTCGAAGGCGGACCCTCCCGAGGGGCCTCTCAAAAGCCAGGACCCTGACAGTTGTGTGCATGTGCGCTGGGGAGCATGCAAGAGCAGTCAAGGCGACGGGCACACAGACTGACACACACACAGACACATCGCAGACACACACGCACCTGTGTGCCCAGGCCTCCCCGAGAGCCCCTTTCCAACAGCCACCGCGGAGGTCTTTCCATTGTCGCCGGACGCCAACTCGCCTCCGCCAGCCGGGCTGCTGTCCCGCCTGGTGGCGGATCTCGCGGGCGCCTGTACCGGGCGCGGCTCACCTGACTCGGGGCAAACCCGTGAGAGCGCTGCCTCCGGTAACCCAAGCACGGAGTTACCCCTGGCGTTCCGCCATCAAGTCCCAATGCATCAATGAACATGGTCTCGACCACGGCCGGCCCCCGTGGCCGGTGGGCCTCCCGCGCCTGACCTCCGACCGTCGAGCACGCAAGCCTCCTGGATTCACGCCCGGCTCCAGCCTCGAAGGGACGAGCATACATGAATCACTCCAGGCTTAATGCCCCGTGGCAAGGGGCGGCTGCCCCGGGTCGGGGCCAATCTGGTCCAGAGGCGTCCAGGCGATGGGCCGGCTTTTGCAGGATGCCACATGTCGCGGAGCTGACGCGCGCCGGCAGGGTGAAACATTGTCGCAAGGCGGCGGGCGTGCCTCCAGCCGTGTGGGGCAAACGACCATGCCTCTTCAGGCACCCCTGCTGAGTGGGAGGCGTGGCGGCGTGATGCCCGGGACAACCCTCCCACCCCTCCTCCCCCGCCCTTTCGGGACACCAGCCCTCTCGGCCTTTTGTCTTTCTCCCTCCCTCCCTCGCTCCCTCCCTGGCTGCCTCTTCGCCACGTGGAAAGTCCCTTCTTTCGCCGTCCTCTCGCTTCGTCGGTCTACTCCCCCCCCCCCCCCCCCCCCCCCCCCCCCCCCCCCCCCTCTGCCCATGGCCTTTCCTCGCTGGCCTGCCGCATGGGCGGGCCCCCTTCAGGTGCTCCTGCTGGCCATCCTGATCCTGGCCATGCCAGCCGGCGCAACTGTGGGGCCCGACATTCACCTCCAACAAACGGCAACGGCCCATTCCACCCCTGCCGCCGTGTCCTATTGGGTTTTCGATCGCGCCTCCCGAGAAACCTCCCTTGTCCATGAGATCTCCGCTTTGGGCTTCAGCTCGTCCTTCCTGAGGCGGCAGCTGAGCCTGGACATTTGGCCTGACACTCGAATTGGCGGGTACTTCGGCAATTTTGCCTGGATGGGTATCTCCCCGGTGAACCCCCCGGACCCGGAGACCCTGGTCACCCAGGTCTACTCCTCCTCCTCCGGGGCCTTCTCGCTCTTGGGGGAAAGCGCCTCCGGCCTGCATCTACTTTCCTCCTCGGGGCCCCGTTCGGTTGCGGGCCCCGGGATCAGGGCCCTGGTGGTGCATGCCATCGACCGGGAGTCCGCCTCGGTCTTGGCCCAGGATGACACAAAGGTGTTCGTGGCTCACTTTGCCTCGAGCGTGACCTTCATGCTCCTGGAGCCGACCATCTATACCCAGACCCCCGAAGCCCAGGGGGCCCTCTTCACGGCCGGCATCTCCCAGTGGACCTACTTCCACTTCAAGGATCAAATCTATTTCCTGGATCACCAGTCCCTCAGCGGGGCCGTGGCCTGGCCCATGCTCTCGGCCTCGGCGGTGGCCCTCTGCATGACTCGCATCGAGACGCCTGGCGCCCTCAAGCAAGACCTGGTCATCCTCCGCGCAGATCGAATGCTGCAGGTCCTGCCGGATGTCAGCGGTGTGCTCTTTGGCAATTCCTGGTCCAGTGCCATCCCGGCGGATATGAACATCCAGGGCGGCCACTTCCTGAACCTGAGCCCGGGTGATGCGCCGGTTGATGCCCTTGACAAACGGCTGTTCTATGTCAACCCCCAGGCCAAGCAGCTGTGGCTGATTGACACGGCCGTCCGGCCGGTGGTCTTCCATCGTCTCCGCCCGCCGGGCGGCTTTTCCGCCTGGACCCAGCTGCGACTGCTGCGGCTGTCGCTGGACGATTCGGCCCCCGAGCCCTCGGTTCAGCTGGCCACCGATGCCTTCCTCTACTACATGCCGGAGGACTTCCGATGCGGCCAGGACGCCTCCATCCGATGCAGCACGGACGCCCAGCCGGTCCCCGGCAATGGCTGGACCTGTGCACCCGGGCGCCACCTCTCCCCCTTCCATCCGTCCGGCGAGATGTGTGCCGGTTGCGCGGCCGGCTTTTCGGGCTTCGAGTCGCCCGCGGCCGGGCCCGGTGCGCGCCCCCTCCCCCTCGACGTCGGGGCATGCTGCTTTTCTTGGCCTTTCCTTTGGAAATCCCCCCCCCCCCCGCCTCCCGCCCCCTGCCTTCCCCGCAGGATCGCTTTCATCCCCGATGCCCTCTAATCCCCGAGTTGCTGCCTCCGCCCAATGCCGCCGGCCCTTCCCCTCCTCCTAGTCACTTGCGCTCGCTGCCCGGACAACTGCAACTCCTGCTCCCGAGACATGTGCCACACCTGCTCCAACGGCTTCCTGCTCCAGGTGCACCCGTCCTCCGGGATCGGGTCCTGTGTCAAGACTTGCTCCCCGGGCTTCATGGCAAACGACGGCATCTGCACCTCGGTGTCCGGGCGCTCGGCATACATGGCCCCGGCCAGCTCGACCGACGTCCAGGTGTCCAACGAGCCGTCCCCCTTCACGGTCGTGGCCCGGACGGCCTTCTTCGCGGAAAGCCCCCTCCATTTGATCGAGGTTCGCCAGCCGGCCGACCCGGATGCCGGGACCTCCGACGTGATGCCCACCGGCTGGGCCCTGGGCTTCCGGTCTTCCGGACAGGCGGCCTCCCTGCTGGACGTTCGGGATCCGGCCAGCTCGCCGACCATCCTGCCGGTCCTGCACGGGCCGCTTGCCAGCGCCAGCGTGTCCTCCTATGTGGAGCTCGGGCCCTTCCTCCGGGGGGATACCATTGTGCTGTTTGGAATCTACTGCGACTCCCAAAGGGGGCTGCTATATGTCGAGGCGTTCTGCACACCGGACCCCGGGCAGGACCGGTGCAGGGTGACATTCGGCCCCGAGACGTCGATCGCCACGCCGGTGTGCTCGAGCATCCGCCAAATCGGCCCGCGAGCGGCTGTGACAACCTTTTCCAACCTCACCTTCATGCTTGCCGTCACCTCGGAACAGCGGCTGGAGATGAGGAACATCCAAAACAGCGATGCCCCCCCTGCGCTGGTGTCGCTCTTCCCCTCGGCCCCGAGGCTTCAAGATTGGCTGCTCATGGTGGATCGAATCAACGGCTTGGTTTCCCTGCAGCCGGTGGATCTCCTGCTGGCCGGCGACATTCGCTCGACCCATCCCCTCGATCGAGCGGTCGACACCAACGCCGCCAAGCGCGTGCCCCTAAGCCTGCCCACCGGCCGGCCGCAAGCCCCGACGGAGGCTGTCCTGTCTGCGGTGGAGCCCTCCGGGACGGGGGGCTTCCTGTGGCGTGCGCAGGTCCCCCCGCAGATGGGTGCCGCCCAGGAGCGCACCATCCGCGCGTCGACCGTCCTTCAAAGCCTGGGCCAGCTGCCGGGCGACCCGGGACCGGCGTACCTCCTTCGAACGGTGTCCTTGAGTGGGGTGCCCGGCCATCCGAGTGCCCTGCTGCTTTTGACCGGGGAGTTTGTCGGCCTGGCGCCCTTGGCCTGTGTCGGGCCCGTGGAGGCTCCCTGCTGGCTGCAGCCGGCTGTCTTTGCCCCCCTACACCGGCCTTTGACGCTGGAGCAGCTGCGCCAGGCGGTCCTGGTGCCGAGCCTGCCGGCCGAGCCGCCGGCCGCCGCCGCCGCCGCCGCCGCCGCCGCCGCCGCCGCCGCCGCCGCCGCCGCCGCCGCACTCCCCCGCCTCACCCAGTCCCTGAATGTCCTCCTGCCGAATTCGGACCCATCGTCCCTGACCCGGGTGGAGTTTTGGGCGATTGACTGCCCGGCGGGCTTTTTCCCCCCCAATTGCGACCCGTGTGACGAGGCGTGCGACGGCTGCTTCGGGCCGGGCCCGTTCAATTGCGTGGCCTGCCGGTTCTCCCTGCTCGAGACTCCGGAGACATGCCTGGCCGCCTGCCCGGCCGGCCGCCTGGCCAATGTGGCGACCCGCACCTGCGACTGCCATGCGGATTGCGCCACATGCGGGCCTGACGGCTCGGGCCGGGAGGGGCACATTTGCCTGACCTGCCCCCCGGGCCTCGGGCTGCCGGAGGATGACCCGGCCCCCGAGAGCTGCCTCCCTTGCTCTGCCACCTGCGCGGAGTGCTACCTGGCCGGGCGGCCGGACATGTGTGCCTACTGCCACCCTGGGGACTTCATGTACAATGGGACCTGCTTGCCGGCGTGCCCCGCTTGGACGTGGCTCTTCCCGCCGGCGAACGAGTGTCGGGACTGCCCGCCCGGGTGCGATGCATGCACCGGGCCGGCGCACTGCACGACCTGCATCGACGGCTGGCACATGGGCCCGAGCGACCTTTGCGAGCCGTGTCACCAGTCGTGTGCCACCTGCTCGGATGCCGGCACATGCGACACCTGCCCGCCGGGGTGGGTCTTCCAGTCGACCGAGCCGGCCGTGCCGTCGCCCTGTGTGGACACCTGCCCGGCCGGGGAGTTTGCCGACAGCGGCACTGGTCGGTGCGCCGCGTGCCATGGCACCTGCTCCGAGTGCATCACGTCCGCCCTGCAGTGCACGGCCTGTGCCCCGGCACACTATGGGCTCGGTGGGGCACCCTCCCCCGGGGCTCCTCGTGCTTGCTCTCGCTGCGAGGCCAGCTGCTCCGGCTGCACGGACATCGCCGCCTGCACCTCCTGCAATGAGGGCTTCTTCCTGGACGCCGGCGCCTGTGCGCCCTCCTGCCCGGTGGGCACCTGGCCCGACCCCGGTGCCCGGGTGTGTCGGCCTTGCCCGGCCACCTGCACAGCCTGCACCGGGGCCACCATCTGCACGGCCTGCCCGACCGGCCGCTTCCTTGGAGCGGACAATGCCTGCCACCCGTGCCATGCCTCGTGCGGCAGCTGCTCGGATCCCGGCTCCTGCGATGTGTGCCAGCCCGGCCAGGTGTTCCTCTCCGCCTTGGCCGACATTCCCTCGCTGTGTGCTGCCTCCTGTCCGACTGGGCAATTCCCCGACTTCGGCCTGGGCCGATGCGCGGCCTGCGCCCCGTCTTGCGTGGCGTGCGCCGGCCCGGCCGACCAATGCACGGCCTGTGCCCCGAGCCACTTCGGCCAGGGCGGCGCCGCCTCGCCGGAAGCCCCTCGCAACTGTGCCCCCTGTGCTGCTGGCTGCCTGGCGTGCTCCAATGCGGAAGTCTGCGCCGCCTGCCAGCCGGGGCTCCTCCTGCATGACGGCGTGTGCGTCGGGGCCTGCCCGCTGGGCAGCTGGGCCGACATGCCGGGGGCCAAGTGCCACGCCTGCCCCGACGGCTGCACCTCCTGCATCAGTGCCTCGGAGTGCGGCGGCTGCCAGGCGGACTGGTATCTCGCCCCGGGTGGCCTGTGTGCCCAGTGCCATGTGTCCTGCGATGGGTGCTCGGCGGCCGGAGGCTGCGACGCATGTCGGCCAGGGCTGCACTTCCTCGAGTCCGATGAGCTGGCCGCATCTCTGTGTGGCAGCACCTGCCCGCCCGGGGAGTTGATCCGGGCCGATGGGGCCCGCTGCGAAGCGTGCCATGCCTCCTGTGCCCTGTGCTCCGGGGCTCCGGGGCAGTGCGAGGTGTGTGCACCGGGGTTTGTCATGCTCCAGCCCGGCACATGTGGCCCCTGTCCGGAGGCCTGCGACTCGTGCACGGCCAGTGGCTTCTGCCTTTCCTGCGAGGATGGCGCCTTCCTGAGCCAGGACGGCCGGTGCCTGGCCCAGTGCACGGCCGGCCTATTCGGGGAGGCTGCCTCCGGCACGTGCCAGCCATGTGCCCCGGAGTGCATCGAGTGCAGGGGGCCCACCAGTGCCGAATGCACCGCCTGCTCGGCCGGGCTGGACGCCCTGCCTGGCGGCCAGGCCGACTTGCTTGCTTGCAGGTCGGCCTGCCCGGAGGGCCTGTACCGCGCCGCCGGGTCGGTCGAGTGTGCCCCCTGCGATGGGTCCTGCGCGTCTTGCAACGGCCCGACCGACCACGACTGCTGGCTGTGCACGGCCAATGGCCAGGTGGTGCAGGATGGCGAGTGCCTGCAGGAGTGCGCCCCGGGGTACACGCCGGTGGGCGGCCGGTGCCTGCCCTGCCATCCCTCGTGTGACGAGTGTACCGGCACTCGGAGCACCGAGTGCATCAACTCCTGCCCATCCGGGCTCCGGGCCCTGCCGGCCGGGGCCACGCCGATGCGCTGCGTTTCCGGCTGCCCGGTGGGCTTTTCCACCGGGCCGGATGGCTGCTCCCGGTGCACTTCACACTGCAGCAGCTGCCCCGGCTCGGCCGACACATGCACCCTGTGCGAACGCGGGTGGCTGCTGCAGACGCCGGAGTGTGTGTCCTCCTGCTCGGCCGGCCACTGGCCGCAGGGCGGCCTCTGCACCACTTGCAGCTCAATGTGCGCCACGTGCTACGGCCCGGCGGCCGAGCATTGTCTCACCTGCGGGCCGGAGGCTCCGCACCTGGTGAACGGCCGCTGCCTGGCCGCATGCCCCGCGCGGACCTTCCAATCCGGGCAGACGTGCCTTCCTTGCCATGGGTCTTGCGAGTCGTGTACCGATGGCGGGGCCCAATCCTGCACCAAGTGCCCGAGCGAGCGCGCCCTGTCCGATGGCTATTGTCTGGGAGAGTGCCCGCTCGGCGAGCATGCCGCGGACGAGGGCCCGGCCGGCCGGGTGTGTCGGCCTTGCGCCGGCTCCTGCCGGTCCTGCGTCGGCCCCGGCGCGGACCAATGCCTTGCCTGCTTGCCGGGGCTGCTGCTCGAGGGCGGACGCTGCGTGGCGTCCTGCTCGGCCGGCCATCTTACCTGCTCAGCGACCACCACGTGCGATCCCTGTCCCGGGGGTTGTGCCGCCTGCCAGGCGCTGGGCGCCTCATGCTCGCCCGGCTGCACCGGCTGCGCCGGTGGCCTGTATTTGTCGCACAAGGACGGCATGTGCGTCGAGGCCTGCCCGGCGGGGGAATTCCTGCCAGCCGACACCTCCTCCTGTGGGCTCTGCCATGGATCTTGCCAGACGTGCTTCGGTGCGGAGACCAGCTGCACTTCGTGCCCGGACGGGGCGCCTTGGCTGCACACCCAAAACCACGTCTGTGTCTCCGCCTGCCCGGGGGTCGGCTTCGTCGGGGCAAGCTTCCCCGGCTCGACGCCCGGGCAGGTGTGCCTGCCGTGCCCGGCCGGGTGCGAGTCCTGCTCGGCCGACCGGTTGGACCGGCCGTGCGCCATCTCCCCGGACGGGTCGCTGGCCTGTCCGGCGGTTGCCACCTGCACCGGGTGTGCCTCGCATCTGCTCCTGCATGGGGCCCAGTGCGTGGGGACATGTCCTTCGGAGGGCTTTTTCGAGGACTGGGCTGCGCGGCCTCCCTCCTGTGTGGCTTGCCACCCGGATTGCGCCGCATGCACCGGCCCGGGGCCGGAGCAGTGTCAGCGGGGCTCTTCGCGCCGGGGCGCCGGCCTGGCCCTGGGCCTGGGCCTGGGCTTGGGCCTGCTCCTGCTGCTGCTCCTGCTGATCTTCCTCTTCATCGCCCTCCGGCGCCACCGGGCCAAGGATGCCCGGCTGAAGGAGCTCCCGGTCGAGCTGGACGAAAATGCCACGGTCATGAATACCATGATGGAGCTTTCGCTGCCGGGCTTCCTCCTGGTCAACTTGGACATGGAGTTCATGGTTCTCCCCGTGGACATGCTTGGGGCCGGGAGCCAGGCCAGTGTCACCGCGGCCAAGCCCATTGGCAGTGGTACATTCGAGCGGCTGGGCTGCAGCGACGTGGTGGCCATCAAGCGCATCAAGGGTATGGGCTTTTCTCTTTCTTTTTTTTATTTTCCCGCCTTCTTTTCCCCCTGCCCGGCCTGTTTGTGCTCCTTCGCGACGTGGCTAATCCCCCCGCCCGTGCGCCCGGCCTTTCATCAGCGGAACTCGATGCGCCCACACTGATGGCCCTCTTCCAAAATGAGGTGGCCATCATGTGGCTGCTGCGCGATTGCCCGAACATTGTGCGTCTAATTGGCTACAGCGAGAGCCCGCTGGCCATCGTCATGGAGCGTTTCCAAACCAGCCTCGAGACGCTCCTCCAGTCCGAGGTCCCCTTGCGGCCGGCGGTCCTGATGGACATCGTCATCCAGTGGGGTGCGTGATGATCATGATGAAGAAGAGGCCTCTTTGCTCCGGCACATGTCGCCCGACTGACCAGGGCCCATGGTGCCCTCTTTCCCCCCCCCCCCCTGCATGCAGCCACCGGCTTGGAGGCCATGCACGGCCATGGCGTGGCCCACCGCGACTTGAAGCCGGGTAATGTGTTCGTCAGCCAGACGGCCGATTCTTGGCGCGCGGTCCTCGGCGACATGGGCACCGCCTGCGATTTGAACAGCAACCGGTCTTCGGTGTTGATGGGCTCGCCGCAGGCTCTCAATGCGATGACCGCGCGCTACGCGGGTCCTGAGGTTCATGCCGCCTTCGCACGCAACTGCCCCATGGACCTGGCGCTTCTCCTACCGGCCGATGTCTTCTCGGCGGGGGTCATGCTCTGGTCGTGCCTGACTCGCGCTACCCCCTGGCAAGGTGCATCCCCTTCCGGGCATAAAGACGCCGGCTGCTTTCCAATGCGCCTGTTTTGCCCCGCTCCCTCCTCGACTCTCTCTCTCACACACACATTCACGAACACCCACACATGACGCCTCCAGATAAAAGCATTCAGCAGGTCAACGCCCTCGTTAGAGAGGGGACCCTCCTGGATTTGAAGGCCATTCCAACCGACACGCCTGCCCTTGAGCCCCTTGCTGAGCTTTTGCGGAGTGCCTGGACGGCTGAGCCAGTGGCTCGGCCTTCGGCTGCGGTCTTCCGCCAGACCGTTGCCCATATTGCTCAGCCCCTGGTCACACGCGTCGAAGCAGACTAGCGGTCCATCCCCCGCCCCCGCTCCCGGCAAGCGGGGAGAACGAAGTCGCTTCCGGCGTCGACCACGCCGAGGCATCCGACATTGCCCGCCCCCTCCGCGGACAGTTGGCAGTTGGATCATCAAGCCCATCGCGGGACATCAGCGCCTTTGCACGTGCCCCGTGTTATGGCAATAGACATTTAGCTTTTTGCTGGCCATCCAGGACGCGCTATGCGGTTTTTGCCGAGGGGGGATGCAAAGACGTGTTTCGCATTGCCCGGGCCTGGAGACGGCTGCACGATTGTGCGCTCGGCGAGATCGACAGGGGAGGAGATCGCCAGGAGTCGGCGAGGCAAAAACACCGCAACATCCATCCCCCCAGCGGCCATCTGCTCCCCGTCCACAGTGCCTCGGAGGGCGGGGCAAGGGCGCATACCGGCGCAAAGGCTGGAGTCTGTGCTCTCGGCCGACCTTGAGGAGGGGGAACCCGGGCGCCGGACAGATCGACCAGGCCTCAAGTGTTGAATGGACCGAGCTAGGGCGCCTGGAACAGCAGGGGAGGGCGCAACAGGGGCCGGGCTCGACCGGGGATGCTTGGAGATGCCCCGCAGGAAAGAAAAAAGCAATCCGCCCCGATGTGCGCCCAGCACCCCGAATGCAGGGCGCTCAGGCTGTGGCCGCACCCTGCCTTTGGGGGGCTCCTCCCGGCTGGAGCCACTCGAATGGCCCGCCTTTTTTCAGTTGCGCATCTTGCCTCGTCGATCTTTCACCCGAACCCTCTGCCATGCCTTTTCTCGCTCCCATGTGTGGGCATTATGTCTCCCCTGAGCAGGTCATAACCTGGAGCCCGCTGCTGAACACAGTATAAAGAGCTTCCGTGGGCTGGCTGTTCCGCACCGGCGGGATATGCCCATTTGTGCAGCCACGTTCGAAAGCAGCCCCTCCTGCCATTCCGCGCGGCACATCGTAGGGCAGGGGACGGAGGGAGGGCGGGACAATCCGAGCTCCTGTCTCGGAGAGTGTATGCCACACGAGCACGATTCCGGGGCATCGGCAGGGCAGACGTCGGCCACATCGAGTGACAGCCGGCCGGCGCCAGTATGATGGGGGCCTCCGGCCGGACACCGGAGATGAGCCTTCGGGCGCCTTTTCGGAGATCCCGCATCCGGGTGGAAAACACGCCGGGGGGTCGGCTGACATTGGTCCCGCCACCAAACCTTGTCCCGGGGATTTTTCCGCGACCCCTGCCGATGGATCGACCCAAGCCCAGAGACAACCCACGGGCGGGCCACGACCGCTACCAGGCTGGCTCACGGTGGCACGCCGGAAAGTGGCTCCCCCGGGTCCAGGGCACCCGGCTTAGGCGGTCGCCACTTGTGGCTTCGCTTCCGGGCACCAAGTCCCGAGCAATGGGGGGCCTGTGTCCGGGCCATGCGAACAAAGGCGGCGATCTCCGGCCAGCGTGCCAAGGGAGGGCGAAGCGACAAACGCAATGCCGATAACGGCCATGTCATCCCGGGGATATGGTCGCGTCTTCGGGCCGCTTGCCTTGCACATGCTCACCCCGCTGCCTGGCTCGCTGCTGCTGTCGGGCCGTCTTCACTCTGGGACGCGCCTCCACACGGGACCATGCCATGGGGAGGTCCGCTGATCTACCTCCTCCGCAAGAGAGGACCGTGCATTTGTCGATCCCCATCGGGGTGGCTCCTCGTGGCCCCCGGCCCTTCCGCTCTTCCCGTGCGTTCCCCCTTTCCAGGGGGTCCCAACCAGCGGGAGCTCCTGTCCTTGCCTTGCCTCCAGGTGGCCGCACCCCGAAGGAGGCCCATCCTTCCTGCGGAGCCGGTGATGCTTCCATTGCCCTGCGTTTGCCCGTCCTCCCCTTCCTTGGAGCGGGGCGACTTCGTCCCTGGTGTACACCATCGGCGGGGTGCAACTCGCCAGCTTTCTTTTTTCTCCCTCCTGCTGCTGCTCGGTACCCGCATGGTGTCGCACCTCGGGATGGAAGGCTGCTGCTGCCAAGGTCGACCACCGGTCCATGGGAATTCCCTGCCAGGCCCGAAGCACTTTCAGGATCCTCGTCGGCGATTGGGGAAAAAAAAGACGCTCATACAACACATGAGACAAAAGGATGGCCAAGAGAGGGGGGGGGCATCACGGCCCCAAAGGAAAGAGGGCCCTCGGGGTCTGCCATGGCAAGGGGAAGACCAAGCCCCCCCCCCCCCCCCCCGGGCGCAGTGAGATTCAGACACCCGAATCGCGGGGCTCCCCCACCAAGAGAGAGCGGCATCCCGCCGCCTCCCTCGTCCACCAGGGGGGGGGGGGGTGAAACACAGGTTTGAAAAGGGAAAAAGCCCAAAATCACAGGCACACACACACACACATGGGAAAGAGAGGGACGACACAAAGGGTATATTTCGAAACGGGAAAAAAGGGTCGATGATGATGGGAGGGAGCCAACTGCAACACACGCAGGACCACCGTCACATGGGGGGGGGGGGGGGGGGGGGGGGGGGGGGGGGGGGGGGGGGGGGGGGGGGGGGGGGGGGGGGGGGGGGGGGGGGGGGTGAAACACCCACGAAAAAGCCCGGATCGTGGGTGGGGGGCGGGGGTGGGGGATGACCTTTGGGGAGGTGGGGCCAGCTGGGGGGAGAGGGACGACGGAGCACCTGGCAGGCCCCACACACTCTCACCGCCCGAACCGGGGGGCGGCCGGACCGGAGAATAGGTGGCTGGGGCCATCGTCGGCAGGGGGGTTCGGGGGATAGCCGTGTCTTGTCCTGTCCTGTGGCACCCCTGCGCGGGCAGGCCCATGCTCCCCCCGCCTCTGGGACAGAGGGGGCGCAAACATGGGACGGGAGCCGCCTGCACTCCCATGGCCGGGACGCGGCGGCAAGCTTGAGACAGAGGAAGAAAGAGACAGCCGGCCGTATGGCAGCGGGTAGACGTGCGGGGGGGGGGGGGCGGGGGGCCCGACCTATGCCACAAGGTGTGGCCGGGCGTCGTGCGGCCGGGAGGCCGATCGCGATCGAATTTCATATGAGCTTCCCACATTCGTGCTGCCTCCCCCCTCCCCCCTCCCCCCCTTGTGGCTTGCCCATCCGCCGATCAGCCTTTGGGGCCCTTGTCGTATGGACCGCCGCGGCGCGGCCTGAGGCGCGGCGAACCGGCTGCTGGCTGCTCGGCGCGAGCCGGACACATGCATATGGCGCCGCGTGGGTGGCGGGGTCGCCCTTTCAGCCTCCGCCATGCTTGCACTCCCCCCCCCGGGTCCCGGACATGTGCGTGTCCGGCACGACGCCCGCGGGTAACGGGTCTGGCCAGGGCGGCGCGGGGCGGTCCCCAAAAAAGAGCCGAGAGGAGGGCAACTGCCCCGCCGTCAGCTGGGCCCCGGAGCAGACACACATGTACTCCCCGGCCGGCGTGGTGCGCGTGCGGGTGTGCACCCCCCCCCCC